TTTATGGCATCAGTAATCACCCTAGGCTCTTGTCATGAGTCGCCAAGGCTTTGGAAGCCTTTTGAGTTCACCAACTCTGATCATATTTAGACAAGGTCGTAGTCAAAGTGGAAGTTCTCTCCTCCCTTCAGAGAAAGGTACCTCCTCCTTTGATGACCTGTTCCTGTTCTTTTCACTGGGATCTCACTCATGGAGATCTTTCATGTAGGGTTTTGTTTGTTTGTTTGTTTGTTTTGCCAGAGTGTTTTGGTTTTCCATGCCTTTAATACTCTCATGGGCTTTTCAGCCAGATCCAAATGCCTTAAGGGCTGATTCTGAGGCCAGAATGCTGTTTAAGACATCTGCCATTCTATGAGTCTGCTGTGTATCTTGCTTCCCATGTTGGATCGTTCTCTTCCTTTTTTATTCTATCAGCTAGTATTTGCAGACACTAGTCTTGTTTATGTGCTCCCTTTGGCTCTTAGTCCTATCATTATGAACAGTTGTGAGCAGAAATTGATCACCGGGATTAGTGAGATGGCATTGGTACATGCCACCTTGATGGGATTGAATTGGAATCCCCTGGTATGTTTCTAACTCTACCGTTTGAGGTAAGTCAGCTTGAGCAATAAATTTTTTGAAGTACCCTTACAGCTTGGTGGGGGGAATGCCTTAGACTATGACTGGTTGTTATAGGCTGGTGCCAATGTGCTATGTCCCCCAAGAGGCCACTGTTGGGAGCTTGGTCCCCAGGTGCCGGTATAGGGAGGTGCTATGGGATCTTCTCGAAGTGGGACCTGGTGGGAGTCCTTGGTCAATGGGGGAGTGCCCTTCAGCAGGATGAAGGTGTTTCTCATGGGACACGCTAGTTCACAGAGCAGATAGTCATAAAAGCCTGAGCCCCGCCCCTCCTAGACCCTCTCTGGCTTCCAGGTGTGATTCTGGTCCCCACCTGTCACATACTGCACCCATTGCCATCCCCATGAAGAGACAGAGCCCCGAAGGCCCTCCTTGGAGCTGAACCAATGCCAGTGCCATGCCCTTTGACCTCTGAAACTATGCGCTAAGTGAATCTCTTTTCTTTACCAAGTGAGCCTATCTCAAGTATTTCACTATGCAATGAAAGCTGGTGGACACTAGGGCAGACTTTACAGCAGTGAGGCACCCCCAAGATTCCCAGGTCCAGACTGGAGTCAGGGAAGCAGGCTGAGAAGGGGAGTGGGGGAGCCTAGGGGCCAGGCTGCCTACCTGGGCTCCAGTGCCAGCTATGTCATTTTGGAGCTGTTGTATGACCTGGGGCCAGTGGCTTAGCATCTGCACCTCCATTTCTTTATCTGCAGGCTGAGTTGGAAACACCTCCCTCCCTAGGTGTTAGGAGGGTGGATGAGATCATGTGTATTTATTTGCTAACTGGTACTTTGTTTTCATTAATGATAGTAGAGAACTCAGTAGGGCAAGCTCTATCTTTGTTAGATGATAAGTTTCTTTTTCTTTTTCTTAAGACTTATTTATTTATTTGAAAGGCGGAATTACAGAGAAAGGAGGAAAGACCTTCATCCACTAGTTCACTCCCCAAATGGCCACAATGGCTAAGGCTGGGCCAGGCCGAAGTAAGAAGCCAAGATCTTCATCTGGGTCTCCCACGTGGGTACAAGGGCCCAAGCACTTGGGCTATCCTCAGCCACTTCCCCAGGAACATTAGAAGTGAGCTGGATGGGAAGTGGAGCAGCCAGGACTTGAACCAGCTCCCATAGGGGATGCTGGCAATACAGGTGGATACTTAACCTGCTATACC